TAACATAAAAAACACTCAGAGCACAAGGCGCTGAAAAAAACAAAACAAATCTGACCGTTTATCTCTACATCCAAAACCACATACCTTAAGTACTTCAATTTAGATTTGAATTAGATAATTAGATTTGAATAAGACCTTACTTCTTGACCATTAGTGTTATATATAGAGTGACTGTGTGTAGTATGAATGTAATCCGGATGTACTACATTCATCATGTGGCTTTCGGTGTCAGTTGCGTCACTTGCATTCTACTCACACCTACTCTCCCGTGGCCTTATGGGATAGTAAAGTGTCCACCAGATGCACACTTCACAATCTCATTGGATACAGTACATTTTCACTCACTATTTATGAATACTAAGAATTTGGACATACCATTCATTTCACAACCTGGTCTTGTCTACTATGGAACTATGCATATTCAGACAGTCTTTGGTTGAATCAATTGATTAATTCATTGAACTAATTTAGGCATAAAAGTTATTAGAAAAGTGAATAGAAGGGTGAATTTGGAAGCACCTCTCACAGACATCAGTTACTACTAGCACATTGACCCCCCTGTGAGAAGTTACATTTAAAATAATTCCCCTTAAAACCTAGCTGCTAAAAATATGTAAGCTAAATTTGTTAGATGACTAGTCAACCATCCTGATCCCATCCCTGAAATTTAGCTTGTTCACAGCCCAGAGTGGTGGCGCAAATAAGCATCTCTCGACTGCAAAGTCATCTGACTGTTTTCAAACCTCATTTAAACATGACAGCCTCTCTCATGGAAAACATGACTGGAGAGCTTAAAGCGGACCAATTAAACACCTAACAGCATCCCACTAAACAAAGGGGATTTTCAGATTAGCAAACCTGGTTAAGCCACTTCAGACTCTGTTTATTTCCCCACATTGGCGGCTTCCTCTTCCAGCTCAACTTCTGATGAAGCTCAAACCGCCCCCTCGTTCCCACTCCTCCTCTCTTCTCACATTCCTCACCCCTCGCTCCTCTCCACATCCTCTGTCCGACGTGCCGAAGAGGAGGAACTGAGAATTAGGAATGGCGTAGGGATGTTTGTCTGAATACGTCCTGTACAATTCTACTCCTGTGTCATCTGAGCTCATTGGGATTCCATAGTGCTCTAAAGTGGATAAAAGGATTTGTCAAAAGAGCCACTCAGGACACTCAAAAGGTTGTGGATTTTGTGATATTTTTTAATTCTTGTATTGCACTCTACTTCCAGTCAGAACCCAATGAAGCTGATGTTTATCAGAGCTTGAATTAAAAAAAAACATCACGCAGCCAAGTATTAATTGGCACAAGGACTACCAACCAACCAGTATGACTCTATTAGCGCTAATGTTCCTGCTCAGGAGTAGATAAAGCAGACTTGACTTAGCAGCCACTAAGCTGCGCTCCCAGTCCTCCTTGTATAATGAGTGGAACATCTGTTGACAGACTAATACAATTAAAGTATTATACAATCTCTTAATCACCATGCCACACTACACCTAATCCTGCCTAACGCTGAGGTCATTCTCCCAGACAGTTCACTCCATTAGTGCAACACGCAAACTGACATCAGTGCTTTAACATGGACAAAGATGTAACAGACATTTACTGCTACCTCCTTTGAGCAGCCTTAAAGATATGAGGGTCAATAAGTATGAGTGACCACAAAAAAGGGTAACAATCTCTCATGCAAAACACAAACATGTTTAATTGAATTTATCATGTAGTGTTACCATCAAGTAAAAAGTAACAACATATTTTCCTTTCATCTTGAATATGTGTCAATGTGCACATTGTAATCATCATTTTTTAGACGCTTTTAAATTATTTCATAGTATTTCATAGTAGCATTTCAAATTATTAATTTATGTGTGTAAATTAAAAATGGCAATCATGACTTATGAATTCATAAATATTACATTTTTGGGGAGGCACACTGCATCAGTGTTGTTACTGTTAACTAAAAGTAAAACTATTAAAAATATTTTTTGTTAATTAAAATAAAGCTGAAATAAAATACAGTATTAATATCTGATGTTGTCATGGCAACACTGAAAGACTAAATTTACTAAAACTAAAACTGAAATAAAATTTAAAAAATGCTAAATAGAAATATTTAAAATAAAAATAACCAAAGCACAAAACAAAATTGCTAATATTAAAATTAAAATGGCAGTTCAATTTAAGAATCAAAACTACTTCAAAATATGAATAAATACAATAGAAGTATACAAATAATACTAAAATAACACTGCACCACATGCTATTTTACATTGTGAAGTCATGAAAAGGTCAAAATTGTCTAATACTTGGTGGCCTTGAAACACAAGCTACATTTCCACCTACATATATTCTAAGCATATTTTGGGATATTGCATTGAAATTTAATGCAATTCATAAAAATAAAAAAAAAACAGTGCTGTCAAACGATTAATCGCGATTAATCGTTTGACAGCACACACACAAAAAAAAACGCTGGATGGAAATGGCAAGATGTGCATAAAAATCTCTCAACTGAGGCAGATATTTTTTTATACAACAAGACGACATGCGAATAAACTATGGAAACAGATTTATCAAACAAACTTCTTGATGTGCAAATACATTTCTTGAAGAGCATCATGTTATTGAAACTTCTGTCTAGTGTTAAAACTGCTTGCTAGTCCTAAATCAGTATTAGCAACTTTTTTTTTTTTCAGATAACTAAATAGATGCTGGCCTCAGCTGTTTGTAATTCTGTTTAGTTACCTAGGGAATAAGGAGAAGGCCTTCATTACATCATATTCCAAGTAGCAAAAAGTGTTTTCAGATGCCTGTATAAATTTCACGAGGAAATAAAACAGAAAGCCAAAACCGAGTCCCAACTTTTCACATTAGAACGAGTGACTCTTCTGTGACCTGCCATACAAGACTAAGTCATTTGATAGAAACTCAACACCCAATAAATCTGGCGCGGTGAAACACATACAAGTGGCCTTTTCACTTCGCATGAATCTGTTACAACATCATGCCTGACAACCTCTACTGAGTGAATACCTAAGATAAAGTGGACATAAATATGAAAATGCTTTGGAAATATGCACGGGAAGATGTATAAGTGAGTTGAGTAGCGGTTTAAAAGGAAGTGGTGAGGTTCTGACCTGATACTGAGAGACGCTGAGCTGGTTAAACCGAGAGTCTGAAGAGAGGTCAGGTAAAGTCAAGGTTCAGGAGGTCAGGGCAACGTCGGAGAGCTGAACTGTGAGTGATGTGGTAATGCTTCCTTGATGCTCTTTGCCGCTGAACTCCAACTGTAAGAACAACACATTGCTCACAGATGTTTCACAGAAGTCAACACCTTAAAGAAAGCCCTGAGAGAGTTTGAAGGGGAAGGACAGAGAGAGAGATAGGCCAATGAGTATAAGGCTCAGCTATACAAAGAGGATCTCAGTGGGCCCCCTTAATTACAGGGCCCTGGAATCCATTCTCGGTTGTACCCTCCTGACAACGGTCCTGGATGTGTTACTAAAAAAATAAACAACTAATCTTTCCACTGCAAGTGAGAACCTGAATTGATGCATTGAATATATCATTCTCTGATAATTTTGTACTTTTTATAAGCTGCACTGTTTAAAACATTTAATGTGTTTTGTTATAATTAAATATTTGAGTGAATTCATTAAGTAAATGAAAGAGTTATCATTTTTAGCCTAGGCTGACTGGTGGTAGCACAGGTAAATAGTATTCAAGTGAGTGCTGTGAAGAAACATTGCACTGTTTGGATCTACTAAACAAATATGCCTGAACGAGTCGCTGTTTTTAGTGTGAACTAGACACTAGCACAACTCATCACATTTATGAACAAAGGGAATGAACAAAATTGACTCGCTCAAAACACACAAAAATAAACTCTTCGCTTCCTACTGGTGTAAACATGTAGCCTGCAGAAAGGGACACTGAAAGAATCAGTAAAAACAATTATTTTGGTTAACAGCAAAAATATTCGGTCATAAATCTGTTAAATCAATCAATCAATGTTACCTGACAATGATGTAACCTGCAGAAATGGATAATGAATGAATTCAGTGAATGAATAAGTCACTTTGGATAAAAGTGTCTGCAAAACGATTAAATATAAATGCAAATAAATCTGAGGAAATCTTTTTGTTGAACAGCCGCTGTCGGTGAGGCGAATAAATTAACACTAATATGTAAGACTTTATCTGACTTGTATATTCAAAATATATTATTCATTTAATACTTTAAAACTTATTCCGGATGTGAATCTGTTACAAGTTGTTGAGTGAATGATTCAATAACTTCTACAAAACACACATACACATTTGTTTCTGTGAATTGTGGGGACTTTCCATAGACTTCTATTACTTTTATAATGACCAAACAATATTTTCTATCCCCTAACCCTACCCCTTACAGAAAACCTGTTTGCAATGTTACACAGATAAACATCATTTACTATTTTTTTTTTTTTTACTATTTCCCCCCCATGGGGACGGTTTTACTATCCTTGTGGGGACATTTGGTCCCCACAATGTAGCATAAACAAGTACACACACACACACAGACACTCTTTGCTACAAAAAATGTGGCCTTTCTGAAGAATCAGTGAACGAATCAGTGTAAATAATTTTGGAGAACAGCCACAAAAGATTCTGCCATGAATCTATTTACAAATCATTAAATGAATGATTCAGTGACTTTTAAAAAAATAAAAAAAACCTGCAGAAATGGCCCAATGAATAAAATGGTCACTAATATGTAACACTTTATTTGTGAAATCAAATCATCAAATCAAATCTTTTGACTTGTATATTCAAAAATATATGATCCATTCAATAATCTAAAAACCTATTCCAGTCTCGAATCTGTTGTTGAATGAATGATTTGGTGGCTTGTAAAAAAAAAAAAAAAACACACACACACACTCATTGCTACCAATTGACAATGATGTAACCTGCAGAAATGGCCACTGAATGAATGAATCTTACAACTTTTTTGGTTCAGACTCAAATTATTTAAGTCACTGAGGTAAATCAAAAATCATCACCACTAATGTATAACATTATATCTGTGAACTTGCATTTAAACACATTATCCTGTTAATACTACCCTAAAATACTTCCAAAACTAGTTTAAAAGACTGTCTGTCAGGATTAGATTTGGAAGGAACTATTAATGTTTTCTCCCATCAATACAGCTTCCACAGACAATCAGCCTGCCAAGCCAATCTGCCTCCCAGGCAACTTCACCTTCTGATTTCATTCCCACAAACAGCACAGAGCATTTAAACTTCTATCTAAGTCACAAACACACACATTTTACTTCCAGCTCATGTCAAACACCCTCAGGATCCTAGTTTGGAGGATGATAATCTGTCCGCTCACACACAAACTTCCTCATTTTGATGGTGGCTCCATCCCTCTGCAAAAAAAAACAAAACGAGAAGTAAACGTGCCTGGAGGGGATGACGGTTCAGCTCAGATAGCCACGAAGAGACGCTGCCTGTCTCCATGCATTCAGTGGACGCCCTCAGTAAACAGCGTTCTTGCTTTCTCTGCCACATATCAAAAGTCAAATATCAAGGCAATTGACCTTGTTAATACATCACTGCTTCTGTCTAACCCTCTCTAAAAGGCTGTTGAGCCATTGCTTCAGCCTGACTGACTTTCTATAGTCACTGTGTGCTGTCCGGATTTCACACATCACTGATTTGTTGCTCTATTGATGGCGACACTGAGTCATACCCCATTGAGAGCTGATCATGTCTATGAAAGTATATGCAGGAACACATTGCACACAGACAAAGGCCTGGAGAAGGTCAAGACGAGAGCCCACTTGTGTGTCCTAAACACTATAACCCTAAAAGCCATTTATTCTTATTCATTTAAGCCTTTATTCTTTAAATCTTGCAGTGAGATTGAATTGAGACTTTTGATGAAAGGGATCATTCTTATTCCTTACCCTCTTGTTCTCTCAAACATGACTTAATGATATAATTTGGTTATCGCTCTTCAAAGTAAATGTCCTCGATTGTCCTATGTATCAAATATTCCCTTTAAATACTTACAGTTGCAATGCATTGAAAGTAGATCTTATCTTTTAGTGGAAATGGAATATTGAAAATGAAAACATGAAAAAAAAGAAAAAAAAACGCAGAATGGGAATTTGGTTCTCTTCATTGGCTGTTGATTGGTGGAGGCAAATATGAACATGAGCTTGCAATTGGTTGTAAGAAAGGGAGGGGCTTATGTTGAATAAATGCAAAGTCTAGCTTTTGTACTATACACCATAGAAGTTGTTTCACTGAGTGATTACGTTATGACACTGATAAAAAACAGAAAATAAAATAAAATAAACATGGTTGAATCCTTCACAATACGATTAACATGCATTAGGAAAAAAGGATTAGGTTAGTTTCCATTTCATGCTGGTCTTAGCATTAGAAATTTGTTAATAAAACTAATACATTTTCAGTAATATGAATTTAATAAATAAAAATGAAAGATAATTTATTCATTTAGAGGACATAATCCGAATCATGTTTAGAAAAAAAAGTTGAAAAAAGTACCAAAGGCCACCAATTTGTCCTTCTCCAAAAGATTAAGTTATATCATTTTGATGAAAATTTTTGAGGTAAATAAAATAAGATAAAATAAAATGATAAAAAATAAAAAAAATAAACATGGTTGAATCATTCACAATACAATTAATAACATGCATTTAGAGAGAAAAAAGGTTAAATTCCGTAATTTTAACATAAAAAGAAAATTGATAAAACTGACAAATTTGTAAGTAATGAGAACTTAATTAAAAATGAATGATACTGTATTCATTTAGAAGACATAACCTGAATCTTTGTATATTTCTTCTTTTATGTTCCACAGAAGAAATAAAGTAATATATGTGTTTATAACAACATAAGGGTGAGTGAATGATGACAGTGTGTTCATTTTTGGGTCAATTATTCCTTTAAGTCCCCTGCGTTTCAGATATGTCCCCAGTAACCTAACACAAGTTTCCTCTAGAGCTTCAGAAGAGATCACAACGACGTCACACACTGTGAAAGCTTTAAACTGTTCATAATGAACTCAAATAACCCATTTCTCATTCAATTCTTCAAAGACCTGCAGTTTATCTGAGTTTTGAAATCCAAATTAATTTCATAGCTCTATACTCCTACTGTATACCAACAACTGTCCCATTTATTTTTATTGTTCCTGAATAGTTTCAGAAGAAACATCTGATAAAAATAATAATAATAATACACAACCAAGAACTCAATTAAGTTTCTAGAGCTAGAAAAGGGCAACCTCTAAGCAATAAAAAAAGTGATTATCTAATTAGAAACAATAGATATTTGTATGCACAATCGCACAACTGGCTCGTAAGGTTTTATGGCTTTGTTTCTAATCTAGAGAGCAGAAGAGGCCAGATCCGTAGAGTCATGGCAGTTTATTGTGCCTTACCTCATACTGGACTCAACTAATGCAAGATTGAAGGGAAATGAGTGACTATCTCGGCACCCAGAGAGGCCACAGCTTCACATATGTGTGACGTGTTTGGTTACTGAGCACCAAACATTAATTCAGATTAAGCGCTGGGCTGCAGAGCACATGTGCTCATGATGTCACCGCTGCGGTAATTGGAAGCGGCGCGCTATGCACTTACTGATGACTGACTGTATTTTGTGGTGTTGCAGATCAGGCAGAGAGCTGAGTTAATGTGTGCATGAGGAGGTACGTCTTAAATCAGCGCCGTGACTCTACAGAGAGCTTGTGGTAGCAGTTACTGCCTCTCAGCTCAGGAAGGATTTAGGCTCCGGTCTTTAGTCTCGAAATGAAGTTCAAAAGAAACTATGATGGATGTTTAGCATTCATGTGTTTGTTCGGTCGCTCGCTGATGGCCTACCACAGAGATGTTAGAGGTTTTATAAAAGGAAAGAAAACTAACTGATCACTGATGCCTAGAAAGAAAGAAAGAAAGCAAGAAAGAAAGAAAAAGAAAGAGAGAGAGAAAGGAAGAAAGAAAGAAAGAAAGAAAGAAAGAGAAAGAGAGAGAGAGAGAGAGAGAGAGAGAGAAAGAGAGAAGGAAAAATTCACCAGACCCTCCCAATTAAGCCTCTTATATTCTCCTTTTCCTAAAAAACCCCACAGATACTTTAGCCCAGAACTTCCCCACTTTAGTCTACCTGGGAGTCTCGGACTACTAGAATCAGAACCACACCATAGGGCATCACTTTTATCCCAATTTACTTTGGCAGTTGAAGCTTTCCCATAACTCTTCAAGATAT